TAAGCGATCCTCTAGTATCGCTTAAGCGATTCTTCGCTTTTACTCTTGGTCGCTTAAGTGATTTCAGATCGCTTAAGCGATCATTTGAGGAAAAATCTTGGTCGCTTAAGAGATATATGTGGTCGCTCATATATCGCTTAAGCGATCATGACAAAAAAGAGAAGAATCCTACATTTCTCCTGAATTATGTAATAATTTGTCTTTATAGAGCTAATTTCGAAATAACTGTGATTGTGATCATTTAGACCTCACTCATTTTCCTCCCAAATCCGAAAAGAATAAGCAGTAAGATGAAGTCATTTATACCAATCGAATCCATCACACATTAAAATATAAGAGATATCAATGTAATTAAAAGTTTAAACTTAAAATCATTCATCATAGTGCCAAAACAGAATAAATCCTAAGCCACTTTGACAAGTTTTGGAAATCGGTATAATCACTGTCTGAGATCATTCTTTGGTACCATGCCTTGCCAGCAGCCTTCATTGCAGATGTCGCCACTTTGAGAAGTTTTCAAATTCGGTATAATCACAGTCTGAGATCATTGTTTGGTACCATGCCTTGCCAGTAGCCTTGATTGCAGATGCATCCTCTTGGCCACCAGCCTTGATTGCAGATGCCTTCCCGACAGCCTACTCTGACAGCCCAAGCCAATTTGAGAAGTTCCCTCTCATTGTTTGCCAGCAACCTGCAAAATTATCCGGCACACCTACAGCCACATCAGCTTTTCTAAATAAAACATAAAAAAACAAAAAGTTTTTTAGGGCCAATTTGTTAAATGGAAAGTTGGAATGTCCCGGGAGTAAAATTTTCTCTCTTCACGAACCTAAGTTATGGAGTGCAAGATTGAAAAGTTCACTAAGTCCGTTTATTTCGGTAAAGCTCTGTATAAGCATTACACCTACAGCATCAGCACCACAACCCAAGTATCAACATCAACATCACATAAACTACAAAATTCAAAGTACAAGTTCCAAACCTTTTGATTGGATTGTGGTCACTCAAAACGGATCCATTTCCCCATAGAAGCACTCAACAGCCTAGCGCTCCCTAAAGATGGTCATTGTTTCATCATTCAATCCATCCATCGGGCTGTTGGTCATGTCGAACTGAATAAATTTCAGGGCATATGCCCAACAATCAGGATTGCAATAGGAAGATAACATTAGCATTAGAATTAGCTTATAGAACAATTGTATTATGTAAGTTTTATACAAAATTTACCTTGACTCATTTGTTGGGACGGGAATGCGCTTGAGTAGCCACTTTCCTGTCAATGCTTCATCACCAAGGTGCTTAAACATCCCGCTGTCACATAACAGCCGTAGGAACAACACAAACAGTGGCTCCAACTCAGCCTCCAACTGCATGTCTTGACAAATTGTTGGGTTGCAGTCAAGGATTTTCAGCAACCTCTCATCTAAGAGCGCGATGACTGCTATCCAATGCATTTCCTTGACCAGGATGATGCAGTAGACACTTTTAACCTTTGCCCAACTGTGGCCATATTTGGGCCTGTCCCCCATAACATACTGCATCATTTTGTCATCAAACTTAAAATCATTAGGGACGCAGTCCAAGTCTTCTGTGCCCGATCGTTTTCGCTTGGCTCCTTTTGCTACAGATGTACCAATGGCCTTTTTCAATAAATTGCGATATGTCGATACCAACGTTTGGTCAAAGGCCACATCGGTGATGACACAATTGGGATACAATAGATCATCATTGCTAGTTTGTCGCAGCCTCATCAGTGCCAATACCTCATCGATGTGCTGCATCAAATAAAAATAACATGATAAGTATACAATACCTCATGGAAAACATAAGCAAAAATAAGGAAAATTAAGCAAAAATAACTCACGGAATCGTGAAGCCAGCTGCCCATCATCAAAATCTTTTTAAACCAATCTCGAGAATAATCCCCGGTCTTACACTTTACAAGGGCATCACATCTGGATTCATTTTAATAGGCATAAAAGAGTTTTTTCTTTTCCTCCTCTATTGGCCTATACAAATCGACAGTAGACTCCATTTTTGCTTGCCCGCTTCCTCCATTTGTACGTCCCCGCTTCCTTCACCTCCCGCCTCAACCTCCTCCATTATAACTGCCCCACTTCCTCCAGCAACCTCTTTAACCTCCTCAATTTTGGCTTCTTCCTCAATTTGTTTCTTTGTTTTTCTCTTAATTACACGTGTTAGTACGGTGTAAGGCGATTTCACAAACCTACTCTTTCGACTCTCTCTTTTCAGCCCAGGTTGCACTTCAACCGCCTTTAATACTCCACCAACTTCCTCCTGCACCCTACCAACTTCTTTCTCCACCCTAACAACTTTCTCTGCCACCTTATCCACTTTCTCCTCCACCCTTTTCAACTGCTCTTCCATCTTATCAAACCTGCCATAAACAACTGTTGTAAAACTATCAAACAAACTGTTTATGAGATCAACCACCTCACTCTCTCGACCCCGACGCCTTGGCAAAGCGGTACTTGTTGTACCGGTTTGCTGAGGCATATGAATCTCTTCCTCCCTCCCCTCCTTCTCCCTCCCACCGATTGCAGCTTCATCTTCCTCGGTGTCAACCACATTCTCAAGCAATGGCCCTGCAACTGCCCTCACATGTGTGACCCCTTGTAGCTCCCGTGTTAGACGGTCTATCCCTTCATCCCTTTGATCCTTTAGTGCTCGGAAAGATGTGACATAGTGTTGTTGCGCTTCACCCCTAGTAGCGGTGAGGAAGGGACGGACAACCCCCTGCAATAAGAAACAAAATCAATCAGATTTAAGCGACATTTTAAAGCAAGTGCATATTCAAAAGCTTAATCCTTTAATCTTACCTGAGCTGATTGAATTTCAATCTCTATTTGCTCATAATCCCAATGGGTACACTTTTAGGCATGCCACCGCAACATCCTAGGAAATGTCTGTTGCACAACCAAAGCCCTAATCCTCCCCCCTACCTTAGCCAAGATAGGGATGGCCTCATACATCCAAGCCTACATTGTAAAAAAATAGTTCATATCATAATTCAAACACATATATTAAAAAATATATAACAAAAATATATTAATATTTACCTGTATTGCCCATAGGAAGCCAAACAAATTATACGTGGCCGCTCTATTCTTCTCAGCCCATTGGGAGTGCTTTAACGCCAGGTCTTTTGCTTGCAGAGACTCTATGGTTCGTTTAAATGATACTCGTCCCCACGGATAAGCATTAAAGAAGTTCAAGTTGCTTACAAACTTCACCTAATCAATATCAACAACTTTTGTTGAATCACCAGCTATTAGGATCGAATGTAAGAACAATACTAAGCATAGTTTGAACGTTTATGAATCGTTAAACTCACCATCTTTTAGCCTGTCTTCTAATTCCTATGCCTTAATAGACGTGTTGCCCTCCAAAACCTTGTTAGACAACCTTTTGGCTCCCGTACTGTCCTTTATTCTTTTTTCCTCAACCTCACTTGGCAATTCCCCACATCTTAAGCCAGTCACCAACGCATATTCCATCATCCTGAAATGTAGTGGCTTTCCATCCACTACGAACCACATTTCGTGTTTTTTGTTGCTTTTTATTGAGTGCAACAACATATAATGCACTCCCGATCCTTATAATGTCTTTTTCCATTTTGTGTCCATATCCCAAAAATGACTTAAACAAGTCTCTTTGAATCTCCTTTCACCATTTCTCGCTGTCCCTAAAATCCCTGTTATTCTCGTTAAAACATCCCAACTTGACCTCACTGTCACCCTCACAGGGAAGTACGGTACCGTATCGCTTACATTCTCCAATCCGTACTCTCTATAGTTTATGCTCTGTAAAATCTTCACAATCGATATAAACAAAATATCAGCAAAAAAATTAAACCAAATCAAATATAAACAAAATACGCTCCAGAAGAATCGCTTAAGCGATGGGCAGATGATTCTGCCTCATACAAGATCGCTTAAGAGTAAAAGTGACAAATCGCTTAAGTGATTCGTCGATTTTACTCTTCGTCGGTTAAACAATCTCTTCCGAGGCAGAATCAACATCTGCCCAAATCTAAGATCTATATCGCTTAAGCGATTCTAAGCTTTTACTCTTAAGCGATCTGAAATTGCTTAAGCGATACAAAGGATCGCTTAAACGATTATAGATATGGGCAGATTTGATTCTGCCTCGGAAGAGATCGCTTGAGCGATTACAGATCATTTAAGAGATCTTGTACGAAGCAGAATCAACATCTGCTAGATCTAAGATCGCTTAAGCGATCGTTTATATCGCTTAAGCGATTCATCGCTTTTACTCTTAAGCAATCCTAAATAGCTTAAGCGACCAACAGTAAAAGTCATCAATCGCTTAAGCGATACAAAGGATCGCTTAAGCGATCTTAGGTCTCGGCAAGTACAAATACCTTTTCTTCAGCGGCCTCCTCCTCTTTGGTGGCCTCCTCCTCCTCGCCTAAACTCTCGCTGGACTCTTCTTCCTAGCCTGAATTTTACCCGACCTCCTCTTCCTTTTCAGAGCCATTTTGCTCTTGTTCTCTCTCTTGTTGTGCCGTCGTCGTCTCCGCTGTTGGAACACCTTCACTAATCGGAGGATCCATCGGAGCAGCCATTGAACTGCTTGCGCCGCTGGACTCTACCATTCGAAGAGGTGTTGGGTTTTCCTCCTCATTGTGAATGTCAGCCATGGTTTTAAGAAAGAAAGAAGCTTTATGATTGAATTTGGGTGTGAAAATTTGCAGGAATGTGGATTGTTATTGTCGGAAATTGCACAGAATGTGTTTGGGGATTGAAGATATCGATTTTTGCCTTAATCAGTTTCGATTAAGCGATTTGAATGGGTGGGGCTCTTTTTCAAATTTCAAATTTTAAAAACTTTTATTAATTATGATTTTATCCTTATATGTTTTAATCTTTTTATTTTAACCTATTTTACATGTTTAATGGATCCTAACTGTGCTACATCAGCTACTCTAAATTAAAAACAGTTTCAAGGCTATTTTCTTAAATCGAAACTTAGAGGAGGGCCTGCCAGCTAAATTTTCTCCCAATTAAGCCCATCTGTAAACAAGTTAGGGTTGAACTGAAGTGATTCAAATTAGGGTTAATTGAAGTGAGTGAGTGTTAGAATTTAGAAACAGAGCAAGAATGGAGAAACGCTGCAAATTCTGGCTTCCAAAGAAGAACCGGTTCTGTGCTAACCTCCCTCTCAACGATTCTATGTAAGCTCTCTCTCTTTTTTTTCCTCTCTCGTTTTGTTAAATCTCTTAATTCTTACTAATCCTGTTATTTTATCGTCAAAGTTTCTGTGGCAATCACAACCCGAGGTCCGATAATCAGTGGATTCCATGCCCAATCGATCCTTCTCAGTAAATTTCTTTCACACTGCTTAGCTTATTTCTATTGATTTGTTTTTTGTTTTTTATTCTATAACATTCTTCTATAATGTCTAAACATTTTATTTTTATTTATTTATTTATTTTCTTTAACTTGACAGTTCTGTTCTCAAAGAAAACCTTGAAGGCCATGTGAAGAGATGCCCTTTATTGAAACAAGTTCAATCTTTGACTCTCCAACCATTTTACCAAAAGGGCATCAATGCCGGAAAAGAAGATGAAGGTGAACAAATGGATACCAACACAGTTGAAGATAATGTAACCTCTGAAATGAAGCGGAATACTGTTTATAGCCTTACTGTTCCTGAATTCCGTAATTTGATTAAAAAGATTGAGTCAATTCATGATTTAATATGTAATGATATAAGGGAATCATTTAAGATACCAGAAGCTTGCAATTTGTGGATTAAGAGAGAAGTAGACAGGTAATGAAGTTGAGTTAGGCCTTTTGTTTTATGCTGGGGTTGTTTGAATTTGTGAGATAAATTGATTGTTGGCAGGAAATTACCATTTCAGGAGAAACACGTTGTGCAACAGGCATCAATTCTAGGGAACTTGGAAGAATTTCGCGTATTGAAGAACTCTGTTGGAATGGATCAAGATGATGAAGAAAGACCTGCAGTGGTTGAATTTGGAGCTGGGAGAGGGTACTTGACACAAATGCTTGCAGATTGTTATGGCACCGAGAGGGTCTTCCTGATTGAAAGAAAGTCATACAAGCTGAAGGTCAGTTGACATTTGTATCATTCACTTAGGGTATAGTGATTGTGACTTCCTGAGCTCATTGAAACTATATTCGGAGTAAGTTATTTATTTTTTCATGTTATGCTGATGCTACTCCCAGGCTGATCGATCCTTGCGACAGAAAGAGAGCTTGACAATTGAGCGTTTGAGAATTGACAGTAAGGTTTTTTAGAATCCTATTCCATGAGTGATTTATGATTTCTCTGTGAGGTCTGAAGGCCTTTCAAATTTCACATTAGCTTTACTGAACATGAGTTTTAGTTGAAGTGCTATTGGTGCTGCTGTGATATGATGAACTAAGGAATTCTTTTTATAATCAATAATCTTCATATTTGCAATTTACTTTGTGTAGACCAAATATTGTTACTTTTTATGCATCCATCTAGGATGCAGTTTGTTTGCATGTTTGCTTTTTTAAAGGTACATGGCATGGGTCTCTTCACAAATTCTTTCTTTTCACTTGTTACATTATGAAATCCCACTTATGCAGTTGAGGATCTGAACTTGAATGCTGTGGAGTCTTTAAGGGGAATTCCTTATGTGGCTATTGGTAAACATCTCTGTGGTCCTGCAACAGGTAATTAATACATCATTGATCTGATTATAAAGCTTGTAATCATGAATTACATGTAACTGTCAGCCATAGGAGATTTTTCACTGACTTTATTTATATCAATTTCCTATTTTCTGTATGGAATGTGCTTGCTGCAGATTTGACTCTAAGATGTTGCCTGGCCAGAGAAGTGAGTCAAGAAAATGTTGAACAGAGCAGTGGTAAACACCACATGAGGGGTCTTTCAATAGCAACATGCTGTCACCATCTTTGCCAATGGAAACACTACATAAGTAATTAACATTTTCTTCCTTAAATTATATTGGAAACACCACATAAGTAATATATTTTTCTGGTGTGCATGTACATGTTAGAACTGCTAATCAGCTTTCATTATTGGCTGACCATATATCTTTGGGCTCCCTGCAGATAAAAAGTATGTATCCAGTTTGGGGATTGCCAAGGAAGAATTCCATGCAATTACATGGTTTACCAGCTGGGCAGTAGATGCTGATCATGGTTCAGATGATTTTGATGTTACTGATAGCAAATTGAATTTGGAATCTATGTAATTTTTTTAAACTTGTGTATTAATTGTTTGTTTGGAATATCATTAATTTACTTCGTTTAACCAGATGGATTGTTCTCCTCTATTTGGGTACTTATCTGTTTTGATGCTGTGCAGTGGGAAAGAAGTAGGTGGTGAGGTGACAGGAGGAGTTGAAGAAATTGTGAGGAATATGAAAGCAGTTGAAAGGGCAGTGTTGGGATTTAAGTGCAAGCAAATAATTGATATGGGGAGGTTGATGTGGATAAAGGAACGTGGGTTAGAAACAGAGTTTGTGAAGTATGTCCCAGCAGCCATCTCTCCTGAAAACCATTTGCTGATTGCCAGATTCACTTGACTGAGCAACGGTGTATTTTTTTTTTTTCTTTTTTATATCCGTTTGTTTTTGAGGTTGTAGGATCAACAATTTTGCCAAATTTTGGTCGTAAGTTCGTAGTTTTGCTACAACATATTGTGGTTAACTACCATCATACAGTTGGAAGGCAGGCAGCAGATGGTTGAGAACCGCGATTCTTTTTCTGCCTGAATAAATTTTTATTTGGACCAAGGTCAGCCACTGGTTACAACGACTTGTACATAATAGCATATGTACAATTTCTTTTTGTACAAAAATATTTTTTAATATAAAATTTAGATAATTTATTCAAAGTAATTGAATGGTCAGATAAATTAGAGATTTAAACCATTGATAATACTTTGGTTTCTTCCTCGCTAAATAGGCAAATATTCCTCATTTGGATTAAATCAAGTAACTGAGCTGTTGTAACGTTCAACAAAGCGATACGGTATCGGCCATGAATACGATCTTTTCGATATCCTTTCCGACATCAGGTCACGTTGTCAAAAATATATACGACTTGTCGTTTCATCTGAAAACGCAGGGCAAATGTCGTCCAAACATCTGGTGGACGTTTTACTGGTCCGTCCTTTTATATCATCACAGTCTGTTACTTTATGATGGTGAAATTGAAAACGCCATTATACCCGAAGCAAAATTATTATTTGATAGTGGATTTTGTAGCAGTTTTGTGGTGAGACCATCAGTGAAGTAGTATTTCTATCGTATTTCTATTTGTTGAGCATGTCTGCAGCAGCATTTGGCTTTATTTCAACTCCCAACTCAGTGAGTCTCAGTCTCACCCACCTGTTGCCTCCAAACACAAGCCTGATTTTCTTTAACTCATTATCAGTACCCACTTATAGAAACTCTTGTTTATCGAAGTCAGCTTCTCTTAATCAAGTATTATTTTTAAGAGTTCCATATGGATCCTTCAACTTCAAGCGCCATTCCTTCTTCACTTCCTCTAAACCCTTTTCTTCTCCTGTCATGGAGTGGCAGGATTGCACGTAATACTTTCTCATTTATTTTACTTTTTCTTTTTCTTTTTTCAGTTTAATGTATTTGACTAGTTTTAACAAGTTATGGCCAAATTGAATGCAGGGTAAGGACTGAAATTGATGTGCCTGTTTCGGTAGCTTATAATTGTTACGCTGACCGTGAAGCCATTCCTCGTTGGATGCCATTTATTTCTTCTGTAAAGGTGCCTCCTCACTTCACTTATTTGCTTTAGTTTATCTTTTTATATTTTCCTTATGTGAATGCCAGATTAATCAGACAATTATTGACTGCATAAAATGATTCAAAATTGCAACTTTTGATCAAACTTATGTGTTTCATGAGTTGTGTGTACCATATAGAGTTCATGTAAAATGATATATATTTATTCAGATTTAGTTTATCACGCCAGAAGAAAATGATGATCGATTCTGTGGTTATGCTATAATAGGTATCGGAAGACAAGCCCGACTTATCACAATGGTCTTTGAAATATAAGGCTTTTGGTCGTGATATTGAATACTCTTGGCTTGCTAGAAATTTGCAGGTGAGTATCACCGGATATTAAACCCATTTATTCTTAATTCTTTTATTTGATTTTTTATTTTTATTTTTTTCATCTTTCCAATTAATTATGCTTTGATTTATTATTTGCAGCCCATCCCAAATCAGAAAATTCACTGGAGATCTCTTGAAGGTCTTCCTAATAGGTAACTGGAATAAATCCCTGTGCAAAAACATACGATTTGCAAGCATGATTTCAGATTTGTGACTATATTTTAGAATCCATGAGTTACATTTTCTTGTCCAAATTTGTGACTATATTGTCCAATGTTTAGCAGAGCAAATTCTGCTGGCACGCAAAAGGTTATGTTGGATATTCTCTTGCATTCTTCAATTGCTGGCTATGATTCATAAATTTGTAGATGTGTTTGTGTAATTTAAGTAGCTTATAACAAACTACAAATTATAGAGATATGTAGTAATAGATCTTAGATTAAATTCAGTGAGTGCTGAAGAGAATTTGGAAACTGATGTTGATATGGGAGGCATTAATAGACCATCATTATTTGAAAGCTGCTGAATAATGCATTTGTATCTCAAAATCTTCTTGGCTAGGTGCTGGCAAAGTGTTTACTGATAGTAAAATAACCACTTTAAGGTTAAAGAAATTTACACTCTGATGGAGCAAAACTATGGGGAATATAGACAGGAGTTTATTCATCTAACTGGAGTATATCATGTTGAATATTATTTGCATCAGAGAAGATTAATGAGCGCAACCTTTTTTTTTTTTCCCCATATCGGTTGAGAACTTACAACTTCATAAATCAGTATGGAATTCCTCAGGTATCCGGAGATCATATCAAAGGCTAGCAGCTGGACTATACGTAACCATTTACTATTATTGTCTTCATAGCAATTGAAGGCTCTTTTTTGTATTATCAAATTGGTATACTCCTCACCAGACTTGTAGAGTCATGTAATCCTATTTTTTAATTTTCATATCAGTGGAGTGGTGTTCTATTTTGAATGCAAAAAAGAACTATGAATAAAAATGCTACTTCTTAGAACCTTTATGAAGACAGTATCACCTTTTATATCTTCAGATTGCTTGTGGTCTGGCATTTGCATCTGGAACATTATTAGCTGAACATAGCATGAATCAAGCATTGCTACATGTCCAAGTTCTCCAAGTTTTATCATCCTATAAATTTGATCAATTGGATGTTATATGATATCTGTATATTAATACCTCGTGTTTGAGTATTGTTATTTCGGTTGGCATAAATTAAAATCAGAATCTTTATAAATTGATTTGTCTCATGGCAGAGGTGCTGTTCGGTTTTTTCCAAAAGGTCCTTCATCATGCATAGTAGAGGTGAGGCCTGTTTGTAAAAGTATTCAGTTTGTACGCCATGTTGTTCTCATAGGAGCTTGAATTTCCTTTTACACATCAATGACCGCTTTCCACAGTTAACTGCACTTATGGACATGTGCGCTATATTAAGCCGATGCTACATTTGGGAGCTTAAAGTCATTCAATTTAGTGTGATGGACATTTTCCCTTGGCTTTGTGCTATGCCTAGGAGAGAAAAGAAAAGGGGAAAAAAAAAAAAAAAAAAAGGGCAGAGTGCTGAGACTTATAGGAAAGCCAAGAAATTCTTTATCTCTTTTCTACATTAAGCTGGGCAATTACAAATCATCTTTTTGTTTTACAGCTAACTGTTTCATATGAGGTTCCTCAACTTCTAGCTCCAGTTGCATCTGTAAGTTTTCTCACCTTTGATTTAGAACCTATTGTTGTTGTTGATAGAGGAACACACCGAATTTATTATCTTGGAAAAAATTTCAATTCTTTTTCTTTTTGGCTTTGTATTTGTATTTGGTTGCAAAGCAGATGAGTAGTTCATGATTCTCCAGTTAAGAATGTTCCTACACAGTTTGATGTGGCATGCATCATGTGTCTCTCTTTTAAACATTTTCAGGCCCTTCAACCTTTTTTAGAAAGCTTACTCAGAAGGGGTTTGGATCGTTTTGCAACATTTGTAAGAAGCTATTAGGCAAACTCAATTTATGATGGTCTCAATTCGGTAATTATAAACTTTCAGGTTTGATATTGTATCCAATTCTTTTGATGTGGATACTTTTCCCACGGTTAATTATGATTCTCTTACTTACATTTGTAACGACTATAAATGTATAGTTACAAAGGCTTCATATAATCTGTTTTATCTTTCAGCTTTGGAGTTACCGTCAGATTTTTGGACCAATGGTAGCTTTTTAGATTGACATTTTCTTCTTGTTTACCTTTTCTACTGGGCTTTTGCGATAATCAACAGAATTTTAGATAAGCCCTTTAATAAATTAAATAGCATGATTACTCTCCAATTATTCTTGGTCTCCGATCTCTATCATACATATACCTAGTTGGTTCTACGTGCTATTAAAACAGATGCAGAGTTCTGAAAATAAAACATTGGATATTTATATCACAGGGCAGAAGTTAGTCTGCGTCCATCAGCAGCATGATGGAAAAGATTTGTTCTTGAATAACAATACAAATCTCTTAGTAAATTCTACATTAAGATCATTTATAGAAATAACATTGACCTGTTATTTAAGGAAGCTAGTGAGCCCAAAATGAAAGCTACAGTCGATAATTTCTGGTATAACTACAAAGATGGTTCTGATAGTAGTACTTTTTCAGTTCCTGTTGAAACAACAAGTGTATGTAAAGACCTACGACGTAACGATTTTGGATTCGTCTGGTCCAAGGTTTGTGCTGCAACTTTTTCGATCTCACCATATAAGACCTCGCCACTTTTGACAGATGTTTTCCAGGTGAAGTGTTTTTTTGTGAGAGGGCGTTCGTCCACTCTCGAATCAGTTCCCCATTGAACCAGAGAAATCAAAATGTTAAATTTTTGGGTAATATTATTGTGTCTTGTCTCCCATCTTCTACTTGATCAAATTAAGAATTGAAAAGGGGAAAAAAAAAGGAGCTTGTTCTTGTACAAGAGTCCTTATTCGGCTAACTCTAACCGAACTCGAGCAATCTTACGAAATCAATCTACACGGGGTTTGCAGACCAGAAGCCATGAGACACGGAGGTTATGGAAATTGTTTAAACCTCCCTGGGGCCTTCCTAAGCTTTACCAAAGTCTTAAACATTCAACAGTCAAGTTAGTAATCATATGTCGGCGCCCAATTGGTCAATACTAAATATGTCTAAAACCTTTAAAATAAAGTATATAATAAGATGTCTTTGAAAAGCTATAAATCCAATTACATGTGACAAAAATCAATTAACTCGATGCCCAATATGCTAAAATATGAAACTAAATAATCTAAATACCAGCAGGTGCAACGAGCAGTGTAAGCTTTTGAAGGGAGAAAAAGAAGAAAGAATACAAATATAAAGAACTTTCAATTAAATTTAGATGATGCATCTATGATACATACCACGTCACAAATAAAAATGGACTACATCAAACGGGCAGCCACCCGGAAATTGGATTATTTACTAAAAATAATCCAAATGACTTTACACAAGAATAATATATTAGGACTCATTTCTACACCACCGCCATCCGTCACCCTATGTACATCAACCAGGAACTCACCCATTACAACTGGAAAATCGACACCTACAAAACTGGCAGCTGCTTTTTCTAGCATCTGACTGAAGCAGCCAGAAACAGTAAGAATTCCCTCCTAATCAAGAGATTTTATTTAGAAATAATATTTACATTCATCGGCCGGCACTGCCATCCAATAAACTCTTCAAGCTGCACAAGGCCTCTGCAGAAAGGCTGCAACACCTCATTCTCCGTTGACGAGGTGTTGATGGCTCTCGGTGATCAAGGGAAGTGAAGCATATTATTATTACAGTGAGATTGTCAAATGTGTTGAGGCGCAAAGCCTCCATGACAAGGTCCCTGGCACACTGCTCAGGGTCATCATGACGTCGCAGTCCTCGATGTACAAGGCTTACTGCATGCTGACTTGACATCACATCCCAGATTCCATCACATCCAATGATGAGAAACTCATCATCTTCTGTTAAAACCATCTGCCGGAATTCAGGCTCTGCTATGAGAGGTGAAGGAGAACCTCGAGGGAACTTCATATCCCAATCACCCAATGCTCGGGAAACTGATAAAACACCATTTAGATAGCCATCATCAACATAACCACCCAACTCTTCAACTCGCCTCCTTTCAGATGGATATATTGGTCTGTGGTCTTGAGACATGTCAATAGCCTCTCCCTTCCGGCAGAGAACTGCACGGCAATCACCAGCATTGGCCACCATCAGAAGCCTGGAAAGGAAAAGAACAAGATCAATCAACAAGGAGAGAAGAAAAAACAAAAAACAAAAAGAGCAGGGGAATTAAAGTGAAGTGCACAAAGTGATTCAAGGTGCAGAAATAAATTTACCTTCCAAATATCAAAGCAGTAAGTGCTGTTGTCCCAGAGGAGCTGCTCACACTGGAGTCATCGGCCAAAGCCAGGTCTGCAAGCAGATATGTTTTCCGAAGGGAGTTCTCAACCGCTTCCAAGAAAACATCATCATCTTCAGATGACTGGGGGAAGTTCACATCTTCAAAAAAAAATCTAATTACATTTTTCCTGATATACGCCGCTGCTTCAGGTCCTCCATGACCATCAAACACCTGATAGTCAGAACAACTTTAATCTAACATTCAAACAATATCATTAAAATACGGTAACAATAAAAGAATGAAAGGTTAATTACCCCATAAAATGCACTTGGCTTCGGAAATTTAAACAGGGATCCCAAGTGAGATGACAGATCATCAATTCTTATATGCTCATCTTCCATGTATCTACGTGGACCAATGTCCGCAAAACTACCAGAACGAATGCTGGGAACAAATTGCAGGGCAGCAGATTCAAGACTGGCATCTGGAATCTTTTCAGCAGATTTTATGTCCTAAAATATAAAAAAGTGGTCTGACATAAGTATACCATTTGAGAGTTACAAAGAAACAAATTTATGATCTCTGACTAAAAAGATCACTGAGGAAATTAAGAGGCTTGTTGCTGGAACAAGGAAACAGTTCTCAATTTTGCAAATAACTTAACTATAACAAACCAACAATTCAAGCTTACAAACTACTATGGATTAGAATCGAGATCTTGTGCAACTAATGTTTCACATAGCAACTATACTAAAAAAAAATTACACGAAATGGAATTCTGTTTATAGTTCATCAAAGCACGACAAAAAAGTTCAATCAAGTCAAACGGTATTACGAATATAAGATCTTATTATGAAATCTTCCCAAACCCAATGTTAAGACTTGGCTAAATCTAACCTAAGTAGGTTAACTGCAAAAAAATTGAACTAACAGCACAGAAACATAATCAAGCAATTAACTGCAACTCACAACATACTTGAACTTCCTTAGAGGCTAACTAATCTTTGAGTAATTTATATCTTAAATCAGTCTATACATAGTAAATAATCAATTTGACAATAAAATCATAAAATCTGATCTAACTAGAAAACTAACCACTTGAGAGATGGACAAGTCGGTTGAAACAGACTCCGATATACGAACTTGATTCACAGCTCGCGGAGAAACCGGCGATTTAATTGTAACAATATCTTCAATCTCTTCAATTTTGCTTCCTTTACCAAAATAATTATTAACATCCAACACAGCCACGCTCTGTTGCAAGCACACAACCTCTGACTCAGCTACCATCTTCAACAAGCATTTACCAACAACCAAATTTTCTTCAAATCTCTCAAGATCTAAACCTGCCAAACTAAATGAAATTTCAAACTTTTATTTTCTGTTTTCTCGTGTCAAAGTGTTACTAATTTTAGCGCAAATGATCAAACTTTGAGGCGGGTGGGCTTGAACTTGTTTATATTGGGTGTGGTATGGGACACCGGTAACCGGTGGCTACAGGTGAGAGTAGTTCTGGAATAGGACACGTGTAAGTTCTTGATCCATCTGATTTTCAGAGCGTGTTGATCACACAACCGAGAATAAAACGAGAGCTTATATTGATGGACACGTGAACATTTTTGGGTTGACGCGTGACCTTTGAACTTTTGCGAGGGTTGTTTCATGGAAAATGACGTGATCGTCCCTTCTTGTACCTTCCACAGATGAGTTGTCACGTTGACTTTTAGGAACAAAATGGGGGATATAGATGAGATTCCAGAGTCGCTCGGGGGCAATTATGGGTGTAATATATTTTCGCCAACGACTGGTGTTTTAACTGATTTTTTTGAAGTGTTCACACTTGCGTTTACTTGTTTGTTACGTTGGTGATGGACACGCAGAAACGTTTTATTACATGGACAAAAGTACCCCTAAATTCTCCAAAAATGACATGTTAGTGGTATTATAGTGTGGATGCGGTGACAGTAGCATCAGGACCGCAGATAACTGAAGGTATCGAACCCCACCAATTTGGACGGTCCTGTTAAATCTAGACTACTCTGGTGTTTGTTAGAAGATGGTCATGGTTTTAATCAAGAATTGTTGGCTTAATTCAGCCGTAGTTTTGTAGGGGAGCCACGTTGAAAGCGTGTTATTATTGAACCGTGTAGCATGTGCAAAATGAGATTGTTTTACCCAACATCAATTTTATAAAATAAAAACTAAAACATTATTTATTTCTTTAATTTTGATTAAAAAAATAAACAAGATTTTATTGAATTGAGAAAGAATGAATAAACAATATCAGGACCAAATAAATCTAACTTGAATCAATCGACCCACCGTTGGAGTTGGAATGACAAAAGTATCTCCATAAACAGCAATTCCACTTGCCCACATGTAACATATAGCCACCGTTGAAACTTGGGAAATTGCGCGTTACACAATACAAACCCACTCGCGACTAAGACGTTTTCATTTTTTAATCTGGATTTGACGAATGTTTTACTGGGTAATCCAAAACCATAATACAATTGTATTTTATGGTTGGACTTGGACTAAAGAATACCGGAGGAGAAACAAGATAAAAATAAATCTAAATCTTTTAATTGATGTCAGCATGTAGGCAATTATGAAAGAGTTGCTTAGAGTTAGCTAATCCCTCGTCATTGACCCTGTACATTATATAAGTGGGGCTAGAGTTAGAGCTTGATATATCATGGCAATAAATGTCTTGGAAATCCGTGATTGGCGTGGCCTGAAACTCCAGAGGTATTCTTATCCTTTGGTTCGCTATCCAATAATTTTCAGGCTCTATTAAAATAATATTATAAATGCGTTTAAAGTAGAGTAGGGTGAGTCTATTTAGGAAACAGCCTCTACGCAGCTTTAATCATAACAAGTAGCAATGGAAATTATAGAATAAGTTATCAACAGTGGGTTTGGTGGTCCAACTAGCCAACCCACTCATGATTGGTCCATCTAATTGGTTTTCAGTTCCCAAGGAGCCTCGCTGGAAGGTCTTGCGGACTATAATTTTTTGCTTTTAATTATATTATATTTTGGTTTAGCTAACACCTCAATCATATTGTGATACAGTAAGGAATTATATGTTTTTGTTTTTATTTTTTTCCAGTTTCCCCTTTGATTGACAAAAACAACACAGGTCATCGTAGCCGGCTTTCTTTAAAGCCGCTGATTGTGTAATGCGTTTGGGGAATTAACTATTTTCAGTGAGATTCTTTTAATTTAATAATAGAAACTATTCTATTGAGCCTTGTGCCTACCACACTATACTGATGAAAACGGAGAAAAACGTGTTGGTGTGGAGAGTTTAGGTCAAAGTTTTATGGTGTGGAGTTTGACACATGTAAGCACATTGATTTCGACCTTTTCATCAAACTATAATTCCCTCTTAATCGTTCTACTAACATATATGCAGTATGCATTGTGGCCAACCGACGTTGATTGCAACGTGGAAGCAGTGGATGATTTTTCTACGCAAAGTAGAAAGATAGGTGAAGCCGTGTGAACTTGAAACAAACAGATGGCAAAACCAAGGCTCAAAAACCATGCTTTTAATTGAAATGAGTGGATATGTCTTCTTTACATTCTACAAATAATGAACTAAAAAATTGATGTAGACCTTTTTTTAAATGTTTCTTTCTCTGTTTGGTTTGGATAAAATGCATTATGATTCAAGATTCATGCACCACCTCTAAATTCCTAAATTCAGAGTCTATCAATATGGGGACTAACATTTCGACCTGGCATGCTAAGCTTCCACATCATCATTCAGCACTCTTATAACTATTAGGGAAGGACAATATTACACTTATAACTCAATCTAACAAAGTTTTTCTCAGAACCTCGATGTGGCAACTCGCAATGAGACTCGCTTGTCTAACTACGAACTACCACGTCAGGATTGTGAGAGAAAATTAATAAGACTAGGTTTTAAGCAAATCTTTATTGATTAGGGAATAGTTTAGACCTATTTCGTTTGAGATTTGGGCCAATTTTAGTGTGCCTCAAGTTGATGTTAACCCAAGGAATTAGTCCTTAAATATCCTGAAATTAGTGAATAATAAATTGCTGTACCATCTAATTAAGAAGAGCCTCGCTCGTGATTGTGAAATATATACGACTTGTGGCCGAAATAACAAGAAATTAGCATACTTATAAAAATTACTAATATCAATTTGTGGTGATTGACATGATATTACTAACAACACTTGTTCCTCCATCAACGACTAAATTATGTCCACTTATGTAAGCTGATTCATCGGAAGCAAGAAAAAGTGCCTCTGCAACATGTTTAGGCTGCAATTTTATTCCTTTTAAGCTGGACACAGAGGAACTCACGGATTGCAGTCGGTTAGGGTCCAAATTGTGCACGTTTAATGCCAAGGATTTGGCAACTCCAAATGGAGAAATGCAATTGAATCTGATCCCTTATCTCCCAAGCTCACTCGAGGCTGATCGAACAAGACCTAACAAACCATGTTTAGATATGGTGTATGCAGGAGGTCCACTACCTCCTTTAGATGATGCAACACTGCCACTGCATATGATTGAACCAGCTATATTTCTAGCCATCATTGCTCGAGCACCGTGCTTGATGATTTGTGCTGAAGCGCGCAAATTTACAGCCATTGTGTTGTCCAAGTCTTCAATGTTCATGTCCAGGATGCTATCCATAGGACGTCCAAGGACTCCAGCATTGTTGTAAATGATGTCAAGGCTGCCATATTTCTCAATCGCATAGGCCATTGTTTCCTCAACTTGCTTTTCATCTCTAACATCACAATGCCGATAACTAGCTTTATTAGGGCCAATTGTGGCGACAACTTGGTTGCCCAAGTCATCAAGAGTGTCTGCGATAACAATGAACGCACCATGTTCTGCAAAAAGCTTTGTACTGGCTTCTACAATGCCACTTGCTACCCCTGTGCTTATAGCAACCTTCTCCTCTAACCCGAAATAGTTTAAGATAAATTTATAAAAATGGAAACACTATCTGGAAACTAAGATACTGTTAAGAAATTCATTTGACTGCAACTCTACATGTTTGAAACAAATGCATATGCCTTGTCATTTTAAAGGTCATCACAGAAATTAATTATAGTGACCAGAGAACCAGCTAGAGGAGGAAAACATTCAACGCACGGTGGTATTAATTAATTTGTTAAGAAGAAATACGATGATGTGTGAATTTTTCTTTTGGTTTCTTGAATGGCCAAACACTTTTACTGAAAGAAAGCCGTTTAAAAGGCCTCATCTCACCTTTTCGTAGACATGCAATCAGCTATGCAACTCTTTAACAAGTGTTTCTTGAAGAGGACCGCTTTAAATTTTAATTGGATTGGACAAGTAACCTTTGATCTCCACTCCACGCAACCTGGCTTGATCTCTTTTCTTGGTGAAAACAATTGAACGTGATATTGGCATTGTCTGCATCTAAGCAATATTGTGACGGCATACCTTGGAGAGAATAAGCCGAACGGCTGACGGAGGAAATCATAGTATGTCATTGGAATTAACCTATTAATTTCCATTTTTTCATAAGTCTACCTCCTAGCAGACAAATTCATCATGCCGGCTGAAATATATATATCCTTCTCTCCAATTCTCTTCCAAGTGATTAACTCATCGTAAATTACAATTTGCTTGGTCGACTCACTTGATATTGACATGTGGCTTTTTATATACTAATTTCAAAGCGTAAGTTTTGTTTGAATTGGTATAAACTGAATTAGATGAACTTAATTACCAGAAATTTTAAACTGATCCTGGACCAAGCTTAGCCAGTCTCATGCATGTAAGTTTGCTTCTTGCTTAGTTAATTACTAATTAAATTCAATCAGTATAATTCCTTTTATACTGATATCAATCCCAGATTATTAAATCCGGATCCGGTTGAAGGAATCAATTGTTTCACTGACCTCGGTATTAATGATGGATTAATTTGGTGTTCTCACTTCTCACGCACTGCAAGACCAGTATGCATACTCAGTGAAATTGGAACACTAAAAAAATTCACGCTTAAAACCAATAGTGTTAATTCTAAAATCAATAATGTTTTTTCTCATCTCAATCTTGCTCTTCGTAAAATATTCTAAATAAACACTAGTCATGTGTAATTCTGTATTGAATATGCCAAGATAATATTTCATCTTTGTCAATACCCGAAAATGTATAAGGTACAAATTTTAAGAGCACTGCTTGTTTGAAGATTGCATTAATGTCAAAGAAAAATAACATGATGGATAGTTGGTAATTTAGATAGATTTGGGTACATAAACATAACGCGACACAATAAACGTTAATGAATTAATGTTTGGTCAACGACATAATACTGCTGATAGCAGAGAATCCCCCATCAACAGCGAGGTTGTGTCCACTTATGTAAACCGATTCATCGGAAGCAAGAAAAAGTGCAGACTGCGCAACATGTTCAGCCTTCAACACAATTCCTTTCAAGTTGGCTAATTGAGCACTCCTGGCATCTACCGTGCTCGGATCCGAATTGGCCACCTTACATGCCATAGGTGTGGAAACTCCGTTAGGAGAAACACAATTCACTCTAATCCCATGCCTCCCAAGCTCACCTGAAGCTGCTCGAACGAGACCTAATAGACCATGCTTCGACATGGTATACGCATGAGGCCCACTTCCACCTAAACTTGAAGCAAGACTTCCTGTGCAAATTATCGAACCTCGTATTTTATTAGCCACCATGGCTCGGGCTGCATGCTTCACGGCTAATACTGAACCCCGCAGATTTACAGCTATGGTATTGTCGAATTGATCCATTTCCAAGTCTAGGATACTCCCCAAAGGGCCGAGGATTCCAGCATTGCTATACATGATATCAAGGGTGCCATATTTCTCTATTGCGTAAGCCACTGTTTCTTCAATCTGCTTCTCGTCTGTCACATCACAATGACGATAACAAGCTTTATCAGGGCCTATTGAAGCAACAACTTCGTTTGCCAATACATCTTGGACGTCTGCGATGATAACAAAAGCCCCGTGTTCAGCAAATAGCTTTGCAGCGGCCTCTCCAATCCCACTGGCCGCTCCTGTGATGATAGCAACCTTTCCCTCTAACCTGCGGCAATTGATCAAAAAAAGTCCTTTTTAGTTTAAGATAAACATCGGAATGAAAGACACCAGAATGAAGAACTATTAGCGGCAACTGTGAAACACACAATTAGGGAAACTTCAAATTAAAATGATCTTCCACTACATGCTTGATGATGGCTCCATACATATGTATTCCTAATTTGCCCTATACTAAGATGTTGTACACAACCCTTAGCTTCCATGAATGACCGATGAAATGATAGCTTATTAGCTTAATTGATTTCAGTGTAACCTTAATTTAGACATGGACGCCTCCTGGGAGATAGTTTTCTTAAACAAAAACTAACTTCAACTTTTGTGTGTATGTCCTCTTGCTTAAACGCTCTGCCTCCATTATATAAACTGTGTGCATGGCCGGCTGAAGGCCAAATTTGGGAAACACTCTATTTAATTACATTAAGAACCCTTATGCCAATTATTTAAGTTGCCTATAAAAACAAAATTTTCATACAGCTTTGAATTATAAAAAATAAGGACGATGATATAAGTAAACTATTTTTATATATTAATAAATAAATAAACAAATTTAGATTTTCTTTTTCTCTCGAATCCACTTGGGCCGATCCATTTCTAAATATGATATACGCAAATCCCATAATATACACTGTAAAGCAGAATAGCACACCGTGTTTCCCCCAAAGGTCGGCCTAATTCTTAAGGAAGTTTGCTCCCTCCCTTAAAGTTCGCCTAATTGTGAAAGAAGTTTGTTCTCTTCCTTAAGTTATTAGATTTAAATCTGGGATTACTTATGACAATAATATTGTGATTTATCTAATCCTTTGAACTCGTAGGGTATTCAATATATTTTAAAGATTAGTTAAAATGTGTGTAAACTAGTTTGACAACTCCATTACCAAAACAAAAAAGAAAAAAATAGCACAGCTCCTAACTCTTAACACATACCAAGTCTGGACCCATACGTCGGTGAAGAGTTGTGATGCAAAGATAAAAATGCTTGAACTCGGGTGACAGTTTGAAGCTGTTAAATTACAACAATCCAATTAGGTCAGATTCTTTGGAACAGCAAGGTAATCGTCATATTAAAAAAAAAAAAATTTATATGAAATATCAATGATAAAAATGTTTATAGCATTTATATTTTCACCCAATTACAAATTAAACATTTTCTAATTTTTTTTCTAAATAATCCATAAAACTATTGCTGGAGTTGTCAATCTCTTCAACAATAAGGGCTATGTAGACGGATTCGGGGATTCCGATGTAGGATTTCTTTAAGCAATTAATTTCTAATTGAGTTTGGGTTTAGAAAAAAATGATCCTTGTAATATTATGTTTTCCTCTTTAAACCTACTATATAAACTTATTTTTTCTCTTGTATGAGTGTGATAACAAATCATATGACAAATACATTTATGATAATGAGAAAGATAAAACAGTATTTCAATAATATTAACTCTGTTAGATGTAGTCTGTAGATTGGGAGAATCAGGATAAATAGTACATATTATTTTTTCTCTTTACTAGTTTGATATTTGTGTGTTTAGTTATTTGATTTCGTATAAGTCTAGATTGTTTCAACTATTTAAATCTGATTACGAGTTTAAAGTAAAATTTTATATCATGAATTATGCTTTTCAAATCAGGATTTTTGAACCATGACATTTAAGTATTCTAAGAATGGTAGATGAAGATGAAAAAAATTATTCCAGCTACGCTAAAATACAAATTGACTGTCCGAACCTGGGCTGAAATAGGCCGACCTTGAATTAGTCAAGGTTTGTAGTCGTAACTTTGATTTCTGACCAATGTGCAGGCCGCAGGGACTGGATTTTCAGTCCAACCTAGGCCAGTCAATCCATGGTATGAAGCGAATTAAATTTAGTGGGTCTAAATCAGGTCCTGAATAGTGAATTCATCAAGTGTTTAGTAGCGTAGTTGATTTTGATGTACTCTAAAAAATCATGTATAAGATGATTTACTATATTTGTTTAATACCAGACAATTAAATTTATAGCTTTCTCCTCATCAAATATTCTAATAGCACTGCTATATTTACTATATGTGTTTAATACCAGACAATGTATAAGATGAAGAATTTTAAGAACATGCACTTTGGTGCTTAACAAAGGCATGGTGGAAAATTTGATAATTTAGACGGGGTTGGGTGCCACGATAAACGTGAATAGATCAAGATTTGACCATCGACATGACGTTGCTAACAACAGAGAACCCCCCATCAACAGCTAGGTTGTGCCTACTTATGTAATACGATTCATTGGAAGCAAGAAAAAGTGCAGAAACATGTTTAGCCTTCAACACAATTCCTTTTAAGTTGGATAGTGGATTACCCTTAGCCTCAAGGGTGCTTATATCCAAATTGCTCATCTTAGACGCCATAGGTGTGGAAACTCCAAAAGGAGAAATACAGTTCACCCTAATCCCATACTTCCCAAGTTCACCTGAAGCTGTTCGAACAAGACCTATTAGACCATGCTTAGACATAGTCAGTGGTGGACCCAGGATTTTTACCCAGGGGAGGCCTCCATGGCTCTACCATTGTTTATCAAACAGTTACTGAAAAATTTTAAAAAATACAAAACCTTAAGCAAAAGAAATCATATAATATCAATAATCTGAAAGAAAATAATGTAACAATACAATACTTTACCATTTGAATAAATCTATGAGAAGTAAAACCTTGAGCAAATTATGTTGAAAATAACATTCAATTTACGAGAAAATATAGGAAAATTTTTACATGGAAAAACCTCTTCAATTAAAGAGAGCAAAAGACCATGAGAATCTAACGATCCATTTAAATCTAATATAATTAAAAGAGTTTACAACAATCACAATCCACCGAAAATGTTCTACACAAATTTCTTATTTCTTTTTTTTCTTTTCTTTCTTTCAAAAATTATAATATAAATTTTCATGACTTTAATCAGGCCTAGCCTAAGCTAAAGTCAACCAAAACTTAAATTAAATCAATATTATCTTGACTTTTAACATGAATTAATAAAAAAAAGGGAAATTTTTTTAGTATAAATATAGATAATAACTCAAACTTCTTTAATAATTTTGAACAGCTAAATGGTAACGTTTGAAATGTAGGAAAGTGGTAGGTGAAGGGTAAAAAATAACATTTAGTAAAATATAGTTAAGCTTTAATTTGAGAATGCGGGAACATTTTTAAACATAAAACACAAAACAGACTCACAAGATTCATGCCTTTTTCCATCAAAAGAATAAAAATCCTCCAAAAAATAAACATGATTCAACCCTAAAATAAACTAAAATGAAATGAGCAATACACATACCTAAAATTGAGAAAACAGAAAACAAAGCTAATTGTGGCACCGTGATGAGAGAATAAAGAATTTTAGGAATAAAATCATAAAAAACAGATGCACGTAAAAAAGAGTGAAAATAGTTTTAAACTTTTAACATGATATAATCTATAGGCGTGAAATATGTATATTAATAATAAGTTTTTTATGAGTCTCGATATATGTATAATATTTCTTATTTTTTTTAAATCTGAAGATAAAGCCTATATGTATATATATATTAATAGAATTTTTTATAAGCCTATATAAATAATTTTTTTTTAAAATGTGAGGGTAGGCCTCCAAGGGGCTGGGTCCGCCCCTGGACATAGTATACGCATGAGGTCTACTTTCACGTAGACTTTGAACGAAATAGAGACAACAACGAAATCAATATAATAATAAAACAAATCATAGACAGTAAATAAAGAGAAAATAACACGCGCGATTTACCTTGATTCACTTAATATGAGTTACGTCTAACTGAGTCAATATTATTATAATGAATTAAATTGCCCTATGATTACTATGACACTCATAACAAGAGAAAAATATGTATATATACGAGGTTTAAAGTGACAAAATCTAATTTTATAAGGATTCTTATTTCTAAGCTCAAACCTAATAAGGAATTAATGACTTAAAGAAATCCTACAACGGTTATACATGGAAAAGACCGAAAATGCCTACTGGCCCAAGGGCGCTGCCCCTACGATCTTCCCCTGCTGACCGGACAACAAGGCCCCCGAATGCATCTACGTAACTCATTAATGCTGAAATAGTCGACAACTCTAATAGACTTGATGCAACACTTCTTGTGGAAATTATTGAACCCTGTATCTTATTAGCCACCATGGCTCGGGTTGCATGTTTCACAGCTAATGTCGAACCCTGCAGATTAACAGCTATGGTATTGTCGAATTCATCAATTTCCATGTCTAGGATACTCCCTATAGAACCATTGTTTTAAAAGTCGGACCGGATTGGCCGGTCCAACCAGGGAACCGGCCACGTGTCCGGTTCGAGTCAACCCCAAAACCGCTATAATGCATTAAATCGCTTGAAAACCGGATAAAATCAGCAAACCGCCGGTCCAGAGCAAACCGTCGGTCCAACCGGACCGGCGGAAAAACCGGTTGAAATTTTAAAATCCCTAATACGCAATCGCATCGCAGCCCTCTCTGTTTCTCATCTTCTTCTCAGTCTTGGTTTCTCTAATTCTCTCAAAAAATTTCTGAGCTTCTTCTCTTCTCTGCGAAAATTTCTCAGTTTCTTCTCTGTTCTCTATGAAAATTTCTCTCTGAACTGAAATCCCACTCAAATATCAATCAACTCCACTCACCAAAGTATGAAATCGACGACGACGTCTTCCTCCCTCACCGGAAATTGATGACGTCTTCCTCCCTCGCCAGAAATTGACGACGAAAGCTCAATTCCTCACTGGAAATCGACGGCGACAGCTCCATTCATTGACGACAACTCCTTTCCTTGATCCAGGTTATAAACACGCCATTCCTCGATCCAGCTTCAATAATGATTTCGTTGCAAACTTTACTGAGTTATTTTATGTACAACTATCAACTAATTTTATAGTATGTTTGTTGCTAATTACTTATCGTATGTGCATGTACTTTCAGATTATGTATTTGTATTTCCAGGTTATAAACACGTCTTACTTGAATCTGAATGTTTATGTTTTACTTCTATTGTATGTTTGTGGATGGAATAACCGAATAAGGACTTATGAGTTATGAGGACAGTATGTTGCATGATGACATAGCAAGAATACAACTTGACTTGATTCCGATGATTCAAGAAATTGTTACTGAGTTGCTATTCTCTAAATTGATGGGTTGACACATAGTTCAGCTCTATAAACCAAAAGAGAATCAATTTCCTACTCTAAATTGATGGGTTGACAGATAGTTTTAATGTTTTATTCAAATGAAATTACAATAAAAGTTGAATTCTCTTATCTGATTTTGATTAGTAACTTATATGTCCACTGTCCAGTTAAGTTTTGTTGAAATATTATATCTAATTGCTATTATAAATGAAAAGAAAATCAACTTCTTGGAAATTGATGAGTTGACAAATATTTTTGCCTGAATGACAATTCAGTTAAGTTCAAAATTGTCTAATTTTATTTTTGATTAATATTCTGTATTTACAGCCAATATGATTCGAACTCTAAGGGCTTGGCTTAAAATTGAAATCCTTGTGAATTAATTGACACAAAAGAAAATACATGTACTCTTCAAATGACAATTCAGTTAAGTGTGATGATGTCATCGGCCCAACCGATTGGACCGGTTGAACCGTGACCTGACCAGTAGAGCGGGTTGCTCTCTGGTCCGGTTTTTAAAACAATGCATAGAACCAATGATCCTGGCATTGCTATACATGATATAAGGGGTGCCATATTAATTTCTCTATTGCGTATGCCACTGTTTCTTCAATCTGCTTCTCGTCTTTCACGTCACAACGACGATAAAAAGCTTTATCACCACCTATTGAATCAACAACTTGGTTTGCCAGTTCATGTTGGATGTCTGCGATGATAACAAAAGCCCCGTGTTCAGCAAAAAGCTTAGCAGCGGCCTCTCCAATCCCACTGGCCGCTCTTGTGATGATAGCAACCTTTCCCTCTAACCTGCGGAAATTGATCAACAAAAACCCGTAAGTTTTGCAATAGAAGACACCGACAATTCTATTAGTGACAACAATGAAACACACAATCATGGATTTCTAAATGTTAAGGATAGCCCCTCATAGATATATTCTTAAAGCTCTATAAGATGGTGCTGTGAAATGATCTAACAATCGCTTGTTAATTTAATTTTCTATCTTAATTACCTTAGTTTGGACATGCATGGTGGCTACTTCTGTGGGATTTTTCTTCAGCAATATTGTTTTCTATCTACGCCCAACTTTCCAGATTTTATAAATGTGTGCATGCCGGCTGAAGGCCTGTCGTGCATATCATTAACACTCTATTTAGAATTCAAAGACGAATCTGACATTCATATATTGTACTATTATAAGAATCTTGGTTTTAAATAACAAATAAAATTATTTGTAAATAATGAATCTAATAACATTTTTTATTATTTATATTATGTATTTTTGCAAATAAAAAATATAATTTATCGGAGCCATGCTAAAATACAAATTTGACTAAGCCCGCAGTTTGGTGGATCTAGTTTTATAAATTGAGAAGAAAGCTTGTTTGAACTTTGAAGGGAACAAAACTGAACAAGTCAAGGTTTATAGTCGTAATTTTGATTTCTGACAAATGGACGGTTAATTTCAGCAAAGGCACGGCATAATTTGGAGCGTCGGGGTGGATTTTTGGTCCCAACCCAGGCCAGTCATTGCATGAGAACAAGCGAATTAAATTACGTGGGTCCAATTAAAGGTTTGGGTCCGAAATTCAATGAGGGCTTACTGTAGAAGCATTATTGGAGTGGTATTGATAGTGATATCGTTGATTTTGATGCGATAAGATGATAATAATAGTAATCAAAATTCAATTCAACGAAGTGTGCTATCTACCATACTTATTCCTACCCGATTATGGCCGCGCAACCATAGTTATTGCCCAAATTACATTGAAAATGATACATTTGAGATTGGGGTCTCTCACTCATCATCATGGCATCAAGATTCACAGTAATAGATTTAGATCAACAGTAATAGATTTAGATCAGTGTGCATGTTAATGTAAGGGTTGAAGAGATAAATACTAAACTTGATATGTTTATCCATATCGACGTGGCCGGGGTATGGGAATCTAATCTCTACTTTATTAGTTGTCTTTGAACTGGGGACATGTGACCCGGGACTCATTTTAATCTTTTTACTCAATCTATTAGAATATTTTAATTACAATTATAAATTTGATTTATAAAATAACATGCTAATACATTCATCGTATCTTGATCCTTGATATGTATATAGTATTTACTTGTGACAAGGGTTAAACAAACATCAGAAAGTTGAGTGTCCAGAGCGGCAACGGGTAAGTCCAATTAATCATCGCCATCGAAGCTTGAAAAGTCAGGTGACAGTTTGGAGCAGCTAAAAACCAATCAAGGACGGTAGTTGAGTCAAATTTCAATTCTTATTTTGAATCGAGGTTCAACAACAATAAAACCTCGATTTTCCATATAAATATTAGTTTCTGACGAGGTAGGAGGCATGTTTATACTTCCAATTCCACAAACTGTTTCTTTTAATTATATATATATATATATATATATATATATATATATATATATATTATATGATTGATATTCAAATATAAAATTGAGTCTGTATGAATCTAACATTAAAAACATTTGATTTTGAAAGAAAGACATACAGATAATATGTAACTTATTCTCAATTATGAGTTACGACAAAACTGAATAGGCCACATAATTATATTTGTAACTTAGTTTTATAATCTTTATTGGCCAAAAAAAACAAAGTAAAAGAAAGAAAGAAAGCGGAGGAGTGGGTCAGGGGGTTTGAACGGTCAAAAAGAAGGAACTATGAAAAGTGAGAAAAAGAGATTAAAGAAAGACATAAATGTTTGGGCTCTGTGTTGACTGTCACCACCATCACCACCACCACCACCACCATCAAACAAACAACTCAAATCTCTCTCTCAACAAATCAAATTCACATAACAACCATTTCTCCAACCTCATATACTACTATTGCTACAGATCCATTTCAACTTCGCTCATGGATCCCCCACAACTACTCTTTCATTTCTACAATTTCTTTACCCGATCGGTATTTCTTCTTTCCTTCTTTTCCTTTTGTTTTTTTATAAATTGTTTTTGTGATTTTATTTTTGATTGTTTGTCTCTGGATCAGGTTTTTTTTCTTGTTATGTTTTTTCTTTGGCTGATCTGTGCATCTAGATCTTTCTTTCTCTTTTTGAGGTTTTTAATGGAAATTTGCTCTTTTTTTTCTGATTTTATGTTTTTAAGCGCATATTTAATTTAAATAGCCAAGAACAAGTGAATGAGGAAACCTAACACTAATCTTTTCTTGGATTTTGAATAGTTAGTGACACAAACAAGAAAAATGGCGTGTTTTCTGATCTAGAGCATAATTTTTTCTTTTGTTCGTTAATTTTTTGTGAAGCTCTTTAATATACTGCCTAGTTAAAGAATAACATTTTTTACTATCTCTGAGTATGCACTATTCTGGTACAGTTAGAAATACATTGAATAACACATATTTGTTATTTCGTTGATGTGATTTACTGAGTCTATTGCATTTCTATTCGTGGGATGATCAAATCGAGATTTTATTTTTTTATTTTTTTAAAGGATACATTGTTATAGTGATTTTGTTCACTGTTATTAATTTTCTTTGTAATTTTTAAACTAGAATGAGCATTGAGATCTTTATTTTTCTTATGAACGGATGCTAGATGTGTGGATGGATTTATTTGTTTACACATTTATTGTTTATGTGTGTTTTTTTATTTGCTTTTTGCATCAGAGTTCTAATGCTGCATTGTGTTTTGCAGATGAGCTATTAATTTCTTCCATCAAGTGGAGAAGGTGAGTTCAAAAGGGATTTTTTTCATTTCCGTTTTTAGCTGATGGCGTCTGTAAGCGTAGTACCTGCTTCTGGATTAAGAGACCCTAGTGGACATACAGTTGGTGTTGATAGGCTGCCGGAGGAGATGAATGACATGAAAATTAGGGATGACAAGGTAAATGACACTTTTTGTTTCTAGCTTCTTACCTCTTTACGATCTTCTTTTCTTGACCATTTGCTGGGTGAGGTTACGAGAAAGCTGTTGAATGTATACAGGAAATGGAAGCAACTATTGTTGACGGTAATGGGACAGAAACAGGTCATATAATTGTCACCACTATCGGGGGTAAAAATGGCCAGCCAAAGCAGGTTTATTTTTTTTTGACTGAACTGCTGTGGTGCTCTCTGGATGATTAAGTTATGTATTTCGTTTGTCTTATACTGTTTATATTTTGCCCCATTGTAGACTATAAGCTACATGGCTGAGCGTGTTGTTGGGCATGGATCTTTTGGAGTAGTTTTCCAGGTAAGCTAGAAATTGATTGCATGCTTGTAGTTGAATACTTAAAGAAAAATTGATTGGTTTTATCTGATTTCATGTTCTTATGCTAGTTCAGTGCTTATTTTGCTGCCTTGTTGTGGTTATGTAGGCCAAGTGCTTAGAGACTGGTGAAACTGTTGCTATAAAGAAGGTTCTTCAAGACAAGAGGTACAAGAACCGGGAGCTACAAACAATGCGTCTTCTGGACCACCCAAATGTTGTTTGCCTGAAGCACTGTTTCTTTTCGACAACTGAAAAGGATGAACTATATCTAAACCTAGTTCTTGAGTATGTGCCAGAGACTGTACATCGGGTGATCAAACACCATTATAAGATGAATCAAAGGATGCCCCTGATATATGTGAAACTTTACTTTTACCAAGTGAGAACTCTCAATTCAATATATGCTATAAAGTTTTTTATTCATTTATATCACATTCAGAATATAGGGTAAAGTTTGTACTACCTTGTCTTTTGTTAGTTTATTTATTTTTAATTATGTGTTATAATGTTTTGCCTGTATGGTTATAAACTGTTTGATTCTGCTTTATAGTATGCTTATTACTTTTAACTTTTGGTTCTGACATGAAGTATTCTTTCTGATGTGTCTGCAGATCTGTAGAGCACTAGCTTACATTCATAACACAATTGGAGTGTGCCACAGGGACATAAAGCCACAAAATTTGCTGGTATATTAGCGAGGCCCCTTAGTTAAGTTGGTGTTTTATTTTGTTAACACTTGATACAAATTTGCTCTCTTTGTAACAGGTCAATCCACATACCCACCAGCTGAAATTATGTGACTTTGGAAGTGCAAAAGTCTTGGTTTGTACTTTAAGCATCATAACTTATCAATATGCTTTTTCAGTGGATATCTGAATGTATTGATTGTTCTCTAATTTTAACAGGTTAAAGGGGAACCAAACATTTCTTACATATGTTCTCGATACTATCGAGCACCTGAACTTATATTTGGTGCAACCGAGTACACCACAGCAATTGATATATGGTCTGCTGGCTGTGTTTTGGCCGAACTACTCCTTGGACAGGTAGATAGCTTCTTTCTATATGATTGGTTCATATATCAGACATCCTTTTTTGTATGTAACTTACAATATGGTTCTTTTGGTGCCAGCCCCTTTTCCCTGGTGAGAGTGGCGTAGACCAGCTTGTTGAAATTATCAAGGTACTTGTAAATTGAAATTACTTGCTCATTAAAAGCTACACATTGATCTCAACTAATTGATCTAATATCTCAATTTTATAGTGGGTTGGAATTTGGACATTTGGATTATTCTTTAACCCTAGGGCTTCTCAATGAAAGTGTCACTGGAATGATTGTCAATAAAATGTTTTGCATGGTTATATTCATCCAATTAGGCTGTTATTCAGCTAAGATTTTCTTTACTTGTTAGTGACTCCAAGAGAATTTTGGTTTGATCTAGCTGGATACATGTCATGTTTCTTCTCCCTCTTATTGTTTTATATGTTCCTCTTTGATAATTTCGTTATTTTCTTGCAGGTATTAGGGACCCCAACTAGGGAAGAGATAAAGTGCATGAATCCTAACTACACAGAGTTTAAATTTCCCCAAATCAAAGCTCACCCATGGCACAAGGTATCCTGGATGCCACTTTGTGTTTCGCTAATTTTTAAAAATTTACCATATAAGAGTAGATTAATCTGTATATTGTTTTTCAGATATTCCACAAGCGCATGCCCCCAGAAGCTGTGGATCTTGTCTCTAGACTACTGCAATATTCTCCCAACCTCCGAAGCACAGCGGTGAGTACAAATTTTCATTTTATGAAGTGCTTAATAATTAATTTTCCTTTGGAGGCTGTCTTTCTGTTCAGTCAATTTATGGTAAATGCAATGTGCTTGTCATCCTATGAAAGGCTCATTTTGATTTAGTCTGTGTGGAGTTTTTGGGGTCAATATAATACCTGCTTTGTCAGTAGCATCATTTATTTATCATGCGAAGAGATTCAGACACAAGTTTTCATTTACCTGGCACTGTTTGTGGTCCTGGATTTTGTGTTACAGAAGTTTTAAAATTATAATTGCAGTTCTGATTCAATGAGGACACATGCCTTGTCTGTCATGTGTAGCAAAATTTTGTACTATATTCGCCTCTGTTCAATCTTAAATATCATTCCCATTTGTGGTTCATATTTAGGTTTCCCCTTTTCTTTAAACTTGGTGATAAATGATGATTTTTTTTGGTTAAAAATGCAGCTGGAAGCTCTGATTCATCCCTTCTTTGATGAGCTACGTGATCCTAACGCCCGCCTTCCTAATGGACGCTTTCTTCCTCCATTATTTAACTTTAAGCCTCATGGTAATAAACTATTATTGAAATGATATTATTTTATTAACCTGTTTCTGTCATGTTTATTGCTTACCGGATGATGATTGTTGGTGCCCTTCTGTTGAGTAGAACTGAAGTCGGTGCCCGCAGAGATGCTGTTGAAGCTAATCCCTGAGCATGCAAGAAAGCAGTGTGCCTTCCTTGGATTGTGAAAAGGTTGTCTGTAGTTTATGCCTGCTCCTTGCAGAAAGAAAATATGGTCCGGTGTAGAGATGTAGCTAGTGGCCTGTTTTAAATGAAATGATACATGGAAGCTGTGTTATTTGTTTTGTATCTCCTATGTTCATTTGTTCCCTTTATTGATTTTTTCTTTTTAGCATTTATTGGTATCTTTGTTTGTAGAAAGCAGATAGAGAAGGTTCTGCTTAAGATTTGAGATAAGACAACGGGTAAGCTGACCCATATTTTCAGTTGACAGACGGATTGTAATGACTTGTTGGAAGCAGAGTTATTTTTCCTTGAGTTGAACAATTATTAGATGGTATTACAAGTCTTGCATTTCCCTCAGTCGCATGTTTCATGCCAGGTTGACATTGTAAAATCTTGCAAGGTAATTGCATTTAAAGATGTTATTTCATTGTAATAATTGAAATTAGAACTTAGAAGAAATCAATGATGACATCCACTATCTTAGCCTATTTCATGATTCTAGATGTCCTGCGGCTGCTCGTCAAGGAAAGCCAGGGTGTGGGCGGCAAGATTGTAGTAAACTCTAAATTTATATAATTAAATTCTCTTTTTTGTACTTTTCATTGATTGAGGAATATTATTACATTGACCAAGTGTTAAAAGCACGACATTAGAATGTTAAGAAGTTGCGTATGGGCTACACCTAGGCTTGTCTTTTTGGTAGGCAAATGCGTTTTAGTCACGCGTATGATGCAGCCGACTTCAACTCCACAGTCCCATCCACTGCGTAAAGGACGGGAATTTGGAGGGTTGAAAACTGGAGCTGGAGCATGCCTTGCATGAATATCGTCACTCCCCCACTCAAACACTTGTATAGTTGACTTGCCCTCTTCATGGTCCATGGATATTGAAATTTGAAACCATCTCTCTATTTTAACCCTTTCATTTCACTATGCTGGAAAGAATTATCTAATCAAATGAGAATATGCCATTTCTCCTCGTTCCCCTTCCCTCCAATCATGTTTCATTTCTACCAGGACACTTATAACACTTACTGTGAAGAATTAATATTCATGTATGTGGCTCAAAAGCAATTTCAGTTCCTAGTGGAACCAATCAGTACCACGCTCACAGTCACCATTGGAAGAAGCTATCAACATATACAAACCATTAAGTTATTGGTCGGTGAAAAAAATAAATAAAGAAAAACTTGTGCAGTATATGGAAGAGCTCTATCTCTAAGTGGACTGCCCACGTAAACGGTAAACCGAAAGTGAACAGAGACCTTTTAGGCCACGCCATAACTTGTCTCATAATATATCATAATTTGAAAGCTAAACAGGAAGTGGTTGGCTGGTTTAAGATAATGTTTTATTTTCTCTTATATTTTTTGCACTACCATAATTTAGTCAGATTACTGATATCATATTCATCTACATTGACCAATGCGCTAAATTGCGTTGCTGAATTTAACGCATTAAGCAATTCAGGTAGGAGTTTGGTGAATTCCAAAACAATGAATAATCATGAAATTGCAGTCTTTCCTTCACCATTTACTTAGTGCAATATGAAAAGTTCCTTTTTCCCCACTTTGTTATGTGGTTTTCTATCCTGAAAAGGAAGCCACTTCTGCCATTCATTATTAAGATGGATTGAGAATATTAAAAAAAAAAAACAACCAATAAGTTTCAGCAATTATATTAAGATCATATAGGATGTTGATATTGTTGGCACTTCTAGATATAATATTCCAAAAGAGTACGTATAATAGCTATGTGGTGCAAATTATGCATAAATCGTTTGCGACTGATCTCCAATAAACTTGTTTTCTGTGCATGGTGATTGGAAACCAATAAGAAATTATGAGATGCACGCACATGGATGTTGTTGCAGAAACGATGCTTGATTTAAAACACTGCTGAAATCTGCAAATGCGTTTTATTAATTTCAGGATTAATTATCAAAATGTATATATATATATATATATATCTTTTGAAATGGGTATGGTGTTGAAGTATGGTTATTATAATAAAAATGAATAGAATGTTGAAAAAAAAATAGATAGGGGACCGATCAAAGTGAAAGTTATGGGAAGAACATGGGAGGGTTATCAACAGTCCACGCATTTGGTTTCTAGTTATTCCGTTTACCTTTTTCCAGAACGGTCATATGCAGACTCCACATTCTCAAAAGAGCCAATACCTATATGGAATTGAATAGTTCCCGCCACCAAAACCATTATTATATTAATAAATTTAAGGTGAATAAGTTTCTGAGTGGCTCCTTCCAAATCCACTATACTACTACTTATTATATATATAGGAATTCAGCCTTTCAGATTCTGCATGCATTCCAAAGCCAAACCTGGTCATAGTATTCCACAAGTTGCCCAAGTGCTCATCGAGCTCATTCGTACAAAGGAATCCAAGTGTTCACTAACTTCTGTCAACTTACAAAAATTTAGGGTACTTCCATTTTCAGGCGAATCCATTCTCAGTCTTTAATTTTATTAGTTCCCGATAGTGACAAATTGCATTACCAAGTTAACCTTGTTAGCTCCATCTGTTTTTCACCATGGCGTACTTCCGGGTGTCAGTGCTTATATTCTGCATTTGCTTCTTCCTATCCGTCCAAGCTAGAAGGTATAACCATGTAAAGCACAAGCATAAACATCATCACCACAAAATCGATGAAATTCAGGAACCACCTTCTCCTTCTCCTTCTCCTTCTCCTTCTAAACCTCAGCCTAATGATCCATCTAATGACGGGAATGCCTATAATTTTACTGTTTCTCCTTCTCCCCCACCAGAAGAAGATGCTAATGATCCTCATTCTCCTTCTCCTTCACCTGAGACTACTACCCCACCTTACTATGGGAATGCCCATAATTCTACTGCTGCTCCTCCTCCTTCTCCTTTACCTAACATTTCTAGGCCACCTAATTATGGGAGTGCCTATAATCCTACTCGAGCTCCATCTCCTTCACCAGCACCCGCTAGCTCACCAAATGATGATTCCAAAACTGGCGTTTTTGATGTACGTCAATTTGGTGCGATTGGTGATGGCATAACAGATGACACTGTAGCATTCAAGATGGCATGGGACACTGCCTGCCAAAATGGTTCCGCCGTCATCCTTGTTCCGTATGGTTTCACCTTCATGATTCAATCTACCATTTTCACAGGTCCTTGTCAAGGTCGCTTAGTGTTTCAGGTATGTTTGCCTTGCCTGTTGAATAAATATATATAATTTCTCTTTTTAAGGACCGAAAGGACTGAAACGAGTACGTTATTGTGTCTGGGAAGGTTGATGGTACTCTTTCGCCTCCTGATGGACCAGACTCCTGGCTACAAAAAAACAGCAAGCGCCAGTGGCTGGTCTTCTACAGAATCAATGCAATGTCACTACAAGGAGGTGGTGTTATTGATGGCAGAGGACAGAAATGGTGGGATCTGCCTTGCAAACCCCACAAGGTATTTTTGAATGTAATCATGAAATTAATCTCTTCCAGTTCTAGTATTAATTAATTAAACTATTACTAATATTCTACATCAATTTCGTAGGGAGTAAATGGAACGACAACGCCTGGATCATGTGATAGCCCCACTGTAAGTAGTACAGAGTAATTTGTTTGTTATCTTTGGTTTTCTGTCAACTTAGAAAGCATTGTTTCGATCTCGTAAATTTAACGATGCAGGCCATAAGGTTCTTCATGAGCTCTAACTTGACTGTTCAAGGACTAAGAATCAAGGATAGCCCTCAGTTCAACTTCAGATTCGACAACTGCAAGAATGTCCATGTAGAATCCATTCACATAACAGCTCCTGCCCTGAGTCCCAACACTGATGGGATCCACATAGAGAACACTAATGCCGTTTAAATATATAATTCAGTCATCTCTAATGGTTTAACCGCAAACTTTTTAAATCTTCTGTATTTCTTAATTTACCACAGCCTTGATCACAATCTCATTAAGCTATTTGTTCATGTCTTTTTTTAAGGTGACGACTGTGTATCCATAGGATCAGGTTGCTACGACGTAGATATAAAAAACATCACATGTGGACCTGGTCACGGAATCAGGTAACCTATTGGTTCGTTTCTAAATTTTTTATTGTTGTTCTTTTTAACTTGAAAGTTTAATTTTCACTTTGGCANCAAATCCACTATACTTCTTCTTATAATATATATAGGAATTCAGCCTTTCAGATTCTGCATGCATTCCAAAGCCAAACCTGGTCATAGTATTCCACAAGTGCTCAAGTGCTCATCGAGCTCATTCGTACAAAGGAATCCAAGTGTTCACTAACTTCTGTCAACTTACAAAAATTTAGGGTACTTCCATTTTCAGGCGAATCCATTCTCAGTCTTTAATTTTATTAGTTCCCGATAGTGACAAATTGCATTACCAAGTTAACCTTGTTAGCTCCATCTGTTTTTCACCATGGCGTACTTCCGGGTGTCAGTGCTTATATTCTGCATTTGCTTCTTCCTATCCGTCCAAGCTAGAAGGTATAACCATGTAAAGCACAAGCATAAACATCATCACCACAAAATCGATGAAATTCAGGAACCACCTTCTCCTTCTCCTTCTCCTTCTCCTTCTAAACCTCAGCCTAATGATCCATCTAATGACGGGAATGCCAATAATTTTACTGTTTCTCCTTCTCCCCCACCAGAAGAAGATGCTAATGATCCTCATTCTCCTTCTCCTTCACCTGAGACTACTACCCCACCTAACTATGGGAATGCCCATAATTCTACTGCTGCTCCTCCTCCTTCTCCTTTACCTAACATTTCTAGGCCACCTAATTATGGGAGTGCCTATAATCCTACTCGAGCTCCATCTCCTTCACCAGCACCCGCTAGCTCACCAAATGATGATTCCAAAACTGGTGTTTTTGATGTACGTAAATTTGGTGCAATTGGTGATGGCATAACAGATGACACTGTAGCATTCAAGATGGCATGGGACACTGCCTGCCAAAATGGTTCCGCCGTCATCCTTGTTCCGTATGGTTTCACCTTCATGATTCAATCTACTATTTTCACAGGTCCTTGTCAAGGTCGCTTAGTGTTTCAGGTATGTTTGCCTTGCCTGTTGAATAAATATATATAATTTCTCTTTTTAAGGACCGAAAGGACTGAAACGAGTACGTTATTGTGTCTGGGAAGGTTGATGGTACTCTTTCGCCTCCTGATGGACCAGATTCCTGGCTACAAAAAAACAGCAAGCGCCAGTGGCTGGTCTTCTACAGAATCAATGCAATGTCGCTACAAGGAGGTGGTGTTATTGATGGCAGAGGACAGAAATGGTGGGATCTGCCTTGCAAACCCCACAAGGTATTTTTGAATGTAATCATGAAATTAATCTCTTCCAGTTCTAGTATTAATTAATTAAACTATTACTAATATTCTACATCAATTTCGTAGGGAGTAAATGGAACGACAACGCCTGGATCATGTGATAGCCCCACTGTAAGTAGTACAGAGTAATTTGTTTGTTATCTTTGGTTTTCGGTCAACTTAGAAAGCATTGTTTCGATCTCGTAAATTTAACGATGCAGGCCATAAGGTTCTTCATGAGCTCTAACTTGACTGTTCAAGGACTAAGAATCAAGGATAGCCCTCAGTTCAACTTCAGATTCGACAACTGCAAGAATGTCCATGTAGAATCCATTCACATAACAGCTCCTGCCCTGAGTCCCAACACTGATGGGATCCACATAGAGAACACTAATGCCGTTTAAATATATAATTCAGTCATCTCTAATGGTTTAACCGCAAACTTTTTAAATCTTCTGTATTTCTTAATTTACCACAGCCTTGATCACAATCTCATTAAGCTATTTGTTCATGTCTTTTTTTAAGGTGACGACTGTGTATCCATAGGATCAGGTTGCTACGACGTAGATATAAAAAACATCACATGTGGACCTGGTCACGGAATCAGGTAACCTATTGGTTCGTTTCTAAATTTTTTATTGTTGTTCTTTTTAACTTGAAAGTTTAATTTTCACTTTGGCATCCACTCAGTATTGGGAGTCTAGGCAACCACAATTCCAGAGCCTGTGTTTCCAATATCACAGTTAGAGACTCTGTGATTAAAGTTTCAGCTAATGGTGTTAGAATCAAGACATGGCAAGGCGGATCTGGAGCTGTATCAGGAATAACATTCAGTAATATTCACATGAACAATGTTAGGAACCCAATTATAATCGACCAATTCTACTGCCTCAACAAGGGTTGCACCAACCAAACTTCGGCAGTCCATGTATCCGATATTCTATATTCAAACATCAAGGGAACCTACGATATTCGTAGCCCACCAATGCATTTCGCTTGCAGTGACTCCGTCCCATGCACTAATTTGACACTCTCCGTCGTTGAGCTTCTTCCGTCTCAAGGATATTTAATGAAAGACCCGTTTTGTTGGAATGCTTATGGAAATTTACAAACATTAACCATTCCTCCAGTCTCCTGCTTGATGGAAGGAATCCCTCGATCTCTCTATGACAGTGACATAGAACATTGCTGATTCATATATATATATATATATATATATATAATGTAAAAACCATAGTTCCAATATAAATGTAAACAATTAATTGTGATGGTAGTTTAAGTTTTCTTACTTTGCAAATAATGATTGCGGAGTGATGTGTATTTTTATCTTCTCCCTATATAAAGCTTGCATGTTTGTCATATATATATATATATAGGCTTCGACTTTTGACTAAGCAATAATGTAAAATTGATAACTAAATATGTGGCTATTTTCCATAGGGGACACCTGGCCTTTTCTACTCCATATTATCTACTTGTTTAATTTTTCTGCAACTAGATTGAAAGTTGACTCTTAAGCGAGCAACCCTTTTTTGACGCCACCTTGCTAGCTAGCTAGTCTGGAGGTATTTTTCTGGTCCTTCCTTTCTATTTCTGATGCAACAAAGTTAAAGAATGTGTACTAGCATAGGTATCCAGTTTAATTGATACTTGATAATTTATAAACCCTGCTGCGGTCTAAAGCAATGACATGGTCCAGTTTCCATTGCCATCTCTGTGTGAGATAATGAGAGTGGATGTTTATCAATGCTAGACATCATCCTTAATTCGTTATGATCAATTCAGTTGTTGAACCTGCAGTTACGTACAAGCAAGTAATCAATCATCACTCTCGATATTAGTCATAGGCATCCATCGAGTTAACAATAATGGTGACACGAAGTTGCAATTTCAGAAGCTTGTTTATCATACTGACATGTCAAAGCTTGGCTTTTCTTACCACACAGAAATAGTTTATCGTACGAACTGATAACATTTGTTGGATGGTTAATCATCATCTATTAATTATTGAGGGAAATCCTATATTATATATGCACTGACATTCTGGCTACATTAACAAATTAAACTACATGTATATGACAGTATGATAAGTGTGATAGACGTGGCGAAATGATGAGCAATTCAAGATATATACTTTTAATATACAAAGTAGAATATTCCGACTTTTCTAGAGTTATGTTAGTTTGTGTATAGGACATTAATTTTAGGTAAAGAGAGTGCAAAATGAGAGTATGAGAAGAAGAAGACGACAATATTAGAAATAATTTGAGTGATCTGAAGAGTAATTTGTCAATTCAAGAAGATATATTATGGAATTGCGGAATAACTTTAATATTGGGGTGGAGGGACAAGGCTTTCAATCTCTTCTGCACGCGTTGCGGCTATTATAATCATAATAAAAAACAAGGACGTCTATGAAGAATCGACACTGTATAGAATGTAGACTACGTGCCCTTGGAAAGCTATAGTGACGGTCGGTGCACGGGCTAAACTCCAAATTCATTTGCCACCCACACTCACTCTGTCTCTGTCTCACCCAAATATTGATAATTAATTAATATGTGCATTCATGGTTAAAGAAGTTGATCAAGTTGTTGAGTGGAGTGCGTGTAAACTATTTTGCCCTGCCTTCTTCTGTTTTATTTTTCCAAAAAGATTATCAAGAAGAGAAGAAAAATTAACTCGTCGTTGTTATTGTTTGGAGGGGATTTATGTACGATAACAGAGTGTACATGCATGATCAACCATGATCCAATCCAATCCAAACCGAAGCTGACGATGGTGAGTATTGGCCAAGTTTAAATCCTGATAACAAAGACCATATTATACAAGGCAAGATTAGTGCTTTTATTTATCGTAAGGTGAAAAAAAAAAAGGTGTATGTGAAACTCCTAAAGCCATAGAAATGGAGAGAATGTCGAATGTAAGGCTGCTAAACTTATCCTCATAAAGAGAGAAGGAATCTACCCCACTAACACCATATCTCATCAACCCACTACCATCTACATCTAAATATAATATAATTAAAAAAATGTATATTTTTTGGCTGGCTTTTTAGTGAGATCGAAATCAAATCACTGATTGTTCTCCTGGAAGAAAAAGTGGGCTATTCGCATCAGCAAACTAATATTGCCAGCCTCGAAAAATTGAACGGTGAAGGAGAAGCATCAAATATCAAATATTGGTTTAGTATATTAGTTTCTACAACAAAAAGGGCTTTTAGCTACAAATTTTTTTGTTGCTAAAAACGTAGAAATTGTTGCGGTATACGTTTAGTCGCTAAAACTAATTACCGGTGAAATATTAAATGTCGTCGCCTAAAGTTAATATCGGCGTACTCTCTATTGTGTCGCCTACTCTATACTGCGACGAGATGTGTGTTTTTGTAGCTTAACATATATAGCGACGCGATGTGTGTTTTTGTAGCTTAACATATACCGCGACGAGATGTGTGTTTTTGTAGCTTAACATATCCCGCGACGAGATGTGTGTTTGTGTCACTTAACGTATACCACGACGAAATGTGAATTTTGCTCGCCTACAATATACCGCGACGAAATGTGCATTTTTGTTGCATAAAGTTAATAGCAACATTATAATTGTATGCGTAGCTTAACGTATACAGTGACGAAATGTGATATTTTGTCGCCGAACATGTAGTGCGATAAAAATGTGTTGTTGTTGCCTAAAGTTAATAGCAACGTATTCTCTGTATGTGTCATTTAAAGTATAACACGACGGTACTTTATATTTTGTCATTTGAAACTATTAGCGATGAAACGTAAAAGTCATCGACAAAACTTTTCAACGTTGAATGTATTTCATAGCTAAAAGTCTACAACGTCGAAATATAATTGTGGTCGCTTATATATATATATATATATAACATTTAATTTATCTTAGACATTTTAAAATTTAATTCTAAAACGTAAATATCAATTTGTAAATGTAATTAATTCAAATCAGACAAATATATCGAACCAAAATATTATAGAACTATATATGTTTGTTTTTAAATAAAAAGTTAAAAATATATAAACTTGATTAAATTTTAATGTTCAAAAAAAGTGAAAATAAAAAAATCAAATTGTTGCAGGTGTGGAGGATCCGATGGAAATTGGCCTAAAAATATTTGTGGGCCATTAGATCGAGAACCCATGTTAATTGAGATGAACTGTTGCATCTTTTCTGTCGTTTCCCTATATTGGTGAATTCTTCCCTATGCCTCGTAGTTCTTGCACCTCCTCACGCAAGTGGTGAGTTCCTCTAAAACTCTTGATTGGCTCGCCTGTAGTCCTCGAAGATGTAGGTGGTTTGGACCATAACCTAATCCACGATAATAACCAGGTTTTTTCCTAAAACCTGTTGAGTGATCTCTAATTGAGTAGGTGGCTGAAACCTTCTTTAGGCTCCTATTGAGAATGTTCTCTATTTGTTCCTACAAAAAATATATATATGTATATACGCACAATATATAAAAAAACAATATAATTTAAAATAAAAATATAATAAACTTTTATGCAAAAAAAAAAAAAAAAAAATACACTACATAATACTTACATATCGAACCTTGGCTCTCATTTATCCAGTATTCTTTTTCTACTAAAATGAGTGTCATAGATAAATGCACCTCCCCTTGGAGCTGGCCTTTAGGAAGATCCTAATATTCAAAAATAAACAAATAAAGACAATTAATATTAAAAAAATAAAAAAATAATAACAATTACAATAACATTTTAAATATAAAATTACTCAAAAATAAATATTTCAAACCTCTGAATTTTTGTTCGGTGAAAAACAAAGGGTTTTGACCCACCATAATGATTGTAAGGCAACTTAGCACCATTGGCTTGTTTACTTTCGAAAGTTTTCTGAAAATTGAATAATGATGCATAATGAATATTATAAATAGCATAAATAATAAACTAAGGAACTGAGTATAAATCATCCATGTAACATTACTAGTAAAAATCATAAATATTAAAAATATTATCTGATAAGCTTCACTAGCAAAATGTGTGCATACCAATCCCAATTTCGGTCGACATCTCTATAAGGTGCGCGCACTTCTTCAGCATCCTCAAAACCTCGAAAATACTTGGCAAGATCATAACGATTATCGCGATAAGCCCTACCCATAAGACTATTAAGGTACTCAAGGACTAAAGGATCATTCAAATCAATATCAAACTTTGACTACAATATATATATATATATATATTATATCATCAAGTCAATCTTCATCCACTTTTAGCCTGATGTGGAGCCACGGTTCTTACCAAAACCCACATTCACTTGATAGTCGCTTTGAAGATATTCACTGGGGTCTCCTAGTTTTAGGAGTCATCACAATCCCAATTTTTCCAGAGACTTGACAATATTTTCGGTGCTACTCCACGTGTTGTCATACGTACTTTCTTCTTTGAAGGAGGAGACTCTTGCAATATTTAAAAATTTACATTCAATATAATGAATAAATAAAATAATTTAAACATTAACATTTACAAAATCTACTGATATACATCATCTCAATAGGACTGATAGGTGTAAATGTATTGAAGCTGGAGGAGTCAAATAAGGACTCAATGTCGGAGAAGTCCACGCCAGAGAGGCAGATGCCGTAGGAGTTGACGAAATATGAGTATTAGGAGAAGTATTCACGCTTGGTGTCGATTTTTTTTTTTACCCTTGTCTCATTCTTTTAAACATCTAACATAGATAAATAAATTAATATCAAAGTTTTGGCTAGCTAATCCATGCATGGTAGTTTATAAAGCTGAACTAGTTAGTCCGTACCTAAAAAATTGTGTTCATGAAATATTTAACATAATTGTGAGAGGCAAGTGTAGCTAGAAAAAATGCCCTGTTTCGGGACTGGGCTTACTAATAGGTTCAGATTCTCAACCATGAAAGGGAGCCAATCTCTATCTCTATATAGGGTTCGGCCTAGAAACCTTTATCATAAATGTAATGAGCAAGTCTACCTTCTTAGGCTGGTGGCCATTCACTAGAGTTCTTTCTTTTTAAAGAAAGGGCTGGCAGACAGATTCGGGTCAAAACAAAGAAGGTCAACAAGCGCAAAAACAATACTAAAAAAAAAGCTCAATCCAGTGGAAAGTGGAATTAACCTAGGTTTGCAAACTTATGTTGCAAGGGAGTCACCCAATATAAAAGCCAAAACAAACCTAATGACTAACGACAATGTTAAAACCTAATGAACTTAAGTTTGACTTCTAAATTATACCTTAGTTTCTCAAATCAAGAATCA